ATTGATACGTATTTTATTACGTATAATACTCCTGTTTATGAATTTTTCAGAAAATTCAGAAAAACTCACGTACTTTAAGGATAAAATGTACAATACACGTACTGTACGTATTGATACGTATTTTATTTAAAAAAAACACCATTAAACGGAAACCTAATGGAGTGATACAACTGAGACAAAATGTCAAGCTACTCAATATTATTTATATTGCTTAAAAAAACGTTATGCCTTATATGTTCACTAATTGTTTAACAGTCATTACATTTAATGAATTAGCTTCTTAAATTCGTAATCTGTTTCGATATTTCTATTGTACTACTACTGTATTACTTTTGTTCTCCACCCATACCAAGACTCCAAAGAGATTGAAAAAATATTGTGACGGCTCACTAAACTCATGGTCAAAGTAATATCAACTATTTTCTAGTAATATCTCTCCACTTCTACTTAAATAGGCAATGCCATTTTTATTATGTATTGTACCTATGCATTTAAATCCGTAAATCTGAAAAAAAAATTATTCCGTACATTTTAAATTGTTGAAGATTGTGGTGCAAATGTTAAATAACTATTTATTTCTATCATTAAATAAGTATATAAGACACATATTATATGCCGTATTTTTAAATTGTGAAACGTTTAAAACGCGTCCGTATCTTTACATATTTCACGAACGTATGAAACATATATTAAGCCGTATTTTATATAATTGTATCGTATTATACACGAACGTACGTATTATTGTATTATTCACGCACCGTATATTACTAACAAAGTTCACAACCCCTATTAATTTCTTTGCCTAATTTCGAAGCTAATTCTTTTATGTTGTACTAGTATATTGTTGTTTACACCGGTATGAACATTCTATAATAGCGGTCACTCCTCATTATGCATTTAGGCTTGGTATTTGAGACCTTTGAAATCCATCCATGTGTTTGCACTCTCATGTGGGATGAAGCTTGATTGGCTACTAGGGGTGGGCACGGTCCGGGACGGTCCGGGTTTTGGCTAATCCCGGTCCCGTCCCGTTTTATAATATCGGTTCGGTACGGTTCGGGATTAGCCTTTGTCCTAATGTGTGTCTATATATATATATATATATATATATATATATATATATATATATATATATATGGGTAGGTTCAAGTAAAAGTGAGAACAAATCTTGGTCTTTCATCACTTAAAAATGGATGGATTAGATGAACTTTAAACACAAGAGAATATTTCAAAAAATGTGCAAACATTTATACTATAAAGTGGATAATTAATGATTAAAAGTGCACTCATGTGTGTCTAAAAAGATTGTTAAATTTTTTCCAGCTTGTGCACTTTTTATTTTGTATCGTATTGCACTTTTGTGCTCTACATGTGCACTTTTTGAACATTCTGATGCACATTTGTAACAAAATTTTCAATAAAAGTTCTACATAATTACAAATATGCCACCGCATTTCCAACCTAAAAATTGATCTCGTCCATCTATTTTTTCACATCAATGACCAAGATTAATTCTTATTTTTCATCTAAGAAATATTTTTTATTTGAACCAAACTCGATCTATATATATGCCCATTGTTTTTTATTTTCGGATGTTCACGTGAACACCCGTGATAAGAGGAGATTTGCCACTGTTTCTCTATTCCTAAATTAACTTCTAATTGCAGTTTACAATATTTAATCAATAATAGAGTTGAGTTAATTGATCTCTGACAACATTTATATTATTTTTAGTAAACAAAATTTACATATTCGCACACCACATTAAAATTTCTAAAATTCGCAAATTAATTATTCCAGTTTGAAAAATAAAATAAAATTAAAGTAAAAGATTAAGAGTAATTATAGTTAAGTTGACCAAGTAAATTGTGGAATGAAAATTATTTTAGACATGGAAGTAGGTATTAATTAATAGGACAAATTAAATATCATACAATGATTATTCAATCAAAATTGAAGTTGTCATACGTTTAAACAACACATGAAATTTTAGGCGAGGTACTTATAAGGTTATAAATATTCTACGTAGTATATAATTTAATTCAAGAAATCACGTGAAGCATTATATTGTCAAACTAAGTTTTTAACTAGCCTAACTCTATATTTACTTTTCTTTATATAATTAAACTGACATGCTGCGACCTACCATGTAAGTTATAATTAACTAATTATATATACACCTTATAAATAACATATAAACTATTAATATTCATGAAATTTATATTAATTACATGCTCAGAGCATTTCCGATGCTCATCTCAAATGCTCTAATCGATCCGTTAGAATTGAAGTAGAGTCACAAATGTTTGGACAATGTCTATTTAGAAATTGGGTTCAATATTATATAAAAAGAGTCAACTAAACACCCCTCTAGTGCCGAACACATGTCCAAGAAGATTAAATTCCCAACCTCAGGAGTCCCTCAAGCCCTTACTCGATCGAGAGAGCATATATGGAAGGTTATAAATTACGTGACTTAACCCATCATAACAATGGTAGATCTTATAGTCCTATATAATAGAAACTCAACCTCATATACTGTTTCAATTAGGTGACTTAATCTTTGATCACTGTCCAACTTTCTCACAGCTTTATAAGTTGAGCAAAGTAAATGACTGACTGTTCATGATCGATTAAAGGCCCACCACTTCTTTACAAGGCCCACAATGCCACGCATGGAAGTTGTGCTTGTCCGTATGCCGTTTTATTTAACTCCACAATATCTATTTTTGACATTGGAGTAGACAATTCCATTCAAAGATTGCATTTGTTCACGTGGTTCCAAAATTCACATTAGCATTGAAGATGCACTCAGGGCCGGCCCGGAGCATGTGCTGGCAGTCCAACCGCACAGGGCCGAAAAAAAATTAAGGCCCAAAATTAGGGCCGGCCCAGGCTTACAATTCAGAACGGCCTTTCACCTCTTTGGAAGCCACTAAGGGTACAAGTAACCAATGTGGATGACCCAATGAGAGAAGTCATTTTTATAAAACAATAGGCTTCAGGATTCTTTTTCATGATCGGTGTGGGAAACCAATTAGTAGATGAAGACACAAAAACAACCTTATAAGCAAGGCTACGGAGAAGTCTATGGAGTGTATTTCTTGGGATTTGCACGCCAGGCTTCCAATCATGAGCAAAGCCAAGGATGTTTGCTTCAAATAAAATTATTCTAAAAATGACAAATACGTAAGTATTATTATTTTTATGAGAAATAATTACAAAATTATGATTAAACTAAACAATATTTATAAAAAGTGTGAGTTTTTAAACGTGGTGATTTATAATAGTAAATTTAATCACATTAACTAATATTCATCTTTTAAAATTAAGTGATAGTGACATAATAATAACGTTTTTTAAAAATGTCTGTATAAAAATTGAAATAAAATATAGAAATTTAAACATCTTTTCAGTCTGACCATAACTGACTAAACTTGCGCAGTTGCGCCCTTTTAAAAGTTTGTACTTATAATTCACATTGAAAATATGTTCAAACACCTCTTTTAAAATGAAGGGTACTTTGTGAATGGATATTTTATTTTGTCTGTATTGTTAATTAAAAATAACTTGAAATTTGATATAAAGTATTAAGAATTTATTACTAACATAGTGTACAATAAATTACGATTTACTTTGTAAATTTTTTACGTTTAAATAAAAGGCCTAATTTTCATTGTTGCACAGGGCCCCTATTTTACCAGGACTGGCCCTGGATGCACTCAGGACACATGGTCTAAAAAACTTTCACACTGACCTAATCCTATATTTGGAATTAATTGACCTACAATGAAGCCCACTCATACAAAACTTTTTTATGTGACTCGTTGGCTCATTTTTGGTAAGTCTTTAGTTTTTATTTTTCAAGCAGATTACATAAATAAATCATATTTGAGGGACATAATAAAACATACCTAGTCCCGTTTTTTTTTTTAATTTAATCCACGTTTTAATTATATTTGAGGGGCTAATATACTCGTACTAGGGCTGCACAAGAATAACCCGAACCCGCATAACCCACCCAACCCAACTCTACCCGATCACTTTTAATTGAGTATTTGATTTTTAAAAATATTCACGGGTTAAATATGTACAAACCTGCACCTAATGGGTAGAGTTGTGAAACTAAAATCTCAAACCCGATAGTACCCGACCAAACCGAAGTATATTTATGCTACAAAGTTTTGTTGGATAATTTTTGTTTAAGATCGATGTATGTGCTCTATCTAAGAGTGTGACTTTAGCATTATAAATATTTAACATTTTGACTAAGTGATTAGTATATATATATACACATTTGCTTCTAAATTAATTGCCTTTACGCAAGAATGTTTTGATAATATTGCCTAAGTTTACTCTTATAAAAAGTACTTGCATTTGTTTGTGTATTTTGGAAACAAGTTAACCGAGATTCATATTGCATGTGTTAGTTGCACATATTAAAGATTCAACCCGAAATAAAATCCTATCAATATCCGACCCTACCCGACCCGTTCATGCATGGTTTACCAACTTATATTTCATACCGCGGGTTGGTAAATAGCCAACCCGAATAAATTGGGTAGGCCCAAAAAATATAGCAAACCCGACCCAACCCGCTCGATGTGCACCCTAATTCGTACTACGTAAGATCTACTTACTAAAGTTTTTTCTAATGGACCAAGTAAGACTATCCTAGCTAGATATAAAAATCAGATCAAAATATCCTGATCCAAAATTCAGTAGGTACCCCGCGCTCATGAGTCATGACGCCCCCAAGATCCCCCCCAGCTCTACATATGACGAAATTACTTGGACTGATTTTAGTCTCAGACCAGATCAGACTAGACTAGAGCAGATTAGATTAGACTTGGACAATTATAAAATACACAGAGCCCTGATCAGATCAGACCAGACAAGATTAGATCATATTAGACCAAAATTAGATCAGACCAAAAAATTTCAGTCCAACTAAAAACATCTTGAAAAGAACTAACATACGTAGTAACATACAAAACCTAAAGTTAATTAGTTTGATGATCATAAGCAAACCCCACTCTACGTCGTCTCTACGTGTCATGTATGAGTGAATTAGAACAAAACATAAATACAAGATCTTTGTTTATAACATAATCTTGATCACTTGTATGAAAAAATTAGAAAGAACCATGATAATATGGTTAATATTATGTAATTAAATAAAGTATTACCAGAACAAGTCAACTTGAAACATGGCTAAATGTGCCTATGGCGATTGTTATGGTGACGGTGATGGTGACGATAGCGACATAATGACATCATTTTGAAATGCATGCATGGAATGTTGCAACATCCTTCTGGGCGAGGTTGCACAATATGTGGCATGTTGCAATACCCATGAAGTTGAGGTTGGGCGGGAGGCGCGATTCGGCTAGGATGGTGATGGGGTATCATAAATGCATGTTGTGGAGGTAGAATATGGCGTTGATGGAATGCTGAGACTCCTTCATATAGAGCTTTAAGATTTATGCCATCGGTTACCAACACGCTTGTCACTCCCATTTGAGATGCCTAAATTAAAATAATGATTACATTTTAGATTATTAGCTAAATAAATCAACTATACATTCAATTGTGTGCATTTGCAGGTTACTTGTCATGTCAGTACTTCATCCACTGACTGGCACACACGTGACAGTCCAATCAGCAGTGACTTTGATGACGTGACACACATGTGGAAGTCCAATCACCCATTTGATGATGGCACGGTGCACACGTGGCGGTCCACGTGTGCGTCACGTCATCAAATGATCTGCTGACACGGTAAGTAACCTGCAAATGGACACAATTGAACGTTTTTACAAAGTTCGGGATTTGATTGATTTTTTTTAAAGTAGACCTAATTGACTTTTTCGTTTTATTTTAGTTATCGCTAAAATTATACAAAAGGTAAATGACTGGTTACTACGGAATAGGTATTATTTAATTAGATACAAATATTGAAATATATAAACATTATTGATACCGATAAGTGATAATTTGACACAACTTTTCTAACGTAAAAAGATGAAATTTGAGTCTGTTTAATACTCCCTCCGGTTTTATTTAATCTTCACACTTTGACTTCACTCAAAATAAGGAAAGAAATTTGACTTTACTGTAGAGTACACTGTTGAGGCACTGTTTGGCACTGTTGAGACACTGTTTGGCACTATTGAGACGCTGTTTGGCACTGTTTGGCACTATTTTGATATAGATTTCTTTGCCAAAAAAGGAAACAAGGAAGTGTGAAGTTTATTTTAGACCGTCCCAAAAAGGAAAGTGTGAAGTTTATTAAAAACCGGAGTAAAAGATAAAGATTAGAATAAATTTGTGAACTTGATGAAAATTAAAAAAAAATTAAGTTAACGAGAAATATATTACACTTATAGCTAAGCAGTGGATCGGACTTACCGCATCAATGTTCCTTTTCTCATCGTCGAAAAACAACATTTGATTATAAGAGCATCACCATTCCTAATCTCTAAAAATCAATATATTCTATGATTCTTACCTTTTAAATATTGTTACATAATTAATTTTTAATTAATCTCAAAATCCGTTTATGCATCTCAACCATCATCTTCAAATAATCCGCTTTTTTCTCAGCCATGCATTAACGTATTACATATACTTTTCAAATAATCTTAAAATAATCCGGATTCATATTTTGATCCCGGATTATTCTAGCAAATAATCTCATTAAATAATCAATGTCTCTCAATGATACTCCTCCAAAAAATCCGCCATGTCATCAATTTAATCTCTTAATAATCCTTCCAATGAGGATGCCCTAAGGCACCATTGTTCTTCTATGGATCCTTTCAAAATGTTCTGTTTTGGGTGACCTACTTGGAAACATTTCCTAATCATCATAATAAAAAATTAACAACCATATATATACACATCAAAATCATAGATATATAAATCAATTAAATATAAATAATTTAATGTGAAGGGGGTATATTAGATATATACTACCTTTGCAATAAATATTGATCCTAAACCTAGCTTAAGTAAGAAAACACGAGCTATGTTTGGAGTGGGTGTTCTTGAGGCAATAGCAACGCCAACTCCCATTTCATATAGAGCCACTAATATCTCTCTCGCTTGAGGAAACAATTCTGCGTAATCATGTTCAGATCGGCTATGACTGAAAAATGAGGATATAAATTAAATTAAAATTTCTATGTTGACTATGTTACAGTAAAATTTTGACAAAAAAATTGATAAATTAAGTTATCAAATGCAACACACCATTAAGTTGTCAGTGAACAAAAACATTTTAAGATACGAATTGAATCATTATTTGCAATGATTCTATATATATTACCAAGTTTAAAATGTTTTTTGGGGTAGGTGAATGCATTAACCGTTAGTATAATTTCTATCGTGATTCTTGAGTAAAATTCAAACAAATTAACGATGTTTTTACTTGGACTGTAATTTGCTGGTCTGATCTGGTCTAGACTGATCTGGTCTGGTCTGGTCTGAACTGGTCTGGTCTGATAAGGTCTGGTTTCTTTGTATTTTATAACTATCCAAGTCTGGTCTGGGGAAAATTACAGTCCAAATTGTAAAGAAGTTATACGTCGTAGTACGGAGTATTTGATAAGCCTAAATATAAATGAACAACTATATATTGAGATCGCTACAAATATAAATCAATATTTTAGATGATTTTACTTGCTGTTGAGGTTTTGTCCCGTAGATCCGGAAGCCCAACATAAACTTCGGATATTAAGGACGATGGATTCGGTATAAAAGTGAATAAATATATAAAAGTGTATGAACTAGCTATTTTTACGTGGAAACCCGGAAAGGGAGAAAACCACGGGACTTTTTAGGCTAACGTCCAAGCCCGCTCTTTCTCATTAATATCCTCCCATCACTCATTTACATAGTATAAAGGTAGAGCTCCATTAATGGAGGTATGAACTAATCTATCAAGAAGGAAAAATAAGCAGGGAGGGAGGAGAGAGCTCCAAAAAGAGAGATCCCTTAATCAGGAGGCTTGGCCTCCTATTTATAGAAGGGGGAGGGGAAACCCTCTAGTCTAACGGGCCGAAAAGGCCCTAATGGGCCGAAACGGGCCTAAATGGGCCGGCGAACCCAAATGGGCCTCGCCAATTGGGTTCCGTATCGGGGTGAGGCTTTGGGCCTCTGAACAGTAGTGGGCCGGGGTAATATACCCAACACAAGTCCCCCAGTTTCTTGAGTAGTGAGCCTGTGAATCTGCTCGAGAAAGTATACTCTTGCTCACGTCCTTCCCTGCCTTCCCTGAATCAGAGTCTTGGAATAATCTCGGACGCAAGGCATGCATGAGCCATAAGTGAGGTGCAATCCCGCACTAGGCACGTCGGCGCTAAAGAGCCAGCCGCTCGTGCTGCATAAGACGGCGGTCCCGACCTGAATGGCATGGGTGGACCTGACCGAGAAGAAGGCACGACGGCGCTGTAGAGCCAGCCGTTCATGCTGCATAAAAACGGCGGTTGTCATCCTAGATTAAGGATGGACGAGCCTAACCAAGAGCCAGGCATGACGGTGCTGCGGAGCCCGTTCATGCTGCATATAAGCGCCGGTCGCCATCCTAGATCAAGGATGGACGAGCTCGACGGAGAGTCCGACACGACGGTGCTTTGGAGCCCGTTCGTGCTGCATAAAAGCGGCGGTCGTCATCCCAGATTAAGGATGGACGAGCCAAACCGAGAGCCAGGCACGACGGTGCTGTGGAGCCCGTTCGTGCTGTATAAAAGCGGCGGTCGTCACCCCAGATTAAGGATGGACGAGCCAAACCGAGAGCCAGACACGACGGTTTGTTTTTCATATGCCACAGGTCAGCACCAAAATTGAGGTGCAAGCCGTTCGGTTAATTTCTGTCGGTTGTTCTTTGTTTCCTGAACGCGCAAGACATAATGTTTAATGCTTGCTGTGCCCCCGAGCACCATGTTTCAGATGCATGCCGTCCGGTTTGTTACCGTCGACTAGTTGTTCCCTGAACGCGCAAGTCATCAATGTTTAATGCTCGCTGCGCCCCCGAGCACCATGTTTCAGATGCATGCCGTCCGGTTTGTTACCGTCGACTGGTTGTTCCCTGAACGCGCAAGTCATCAATGTTTAATGCTTGCTGCGCCCCCGAGCACCATGTTTCAGATGCATGCCGTCCGGTTTGTTACCGTCGACTGGTTGTTCCCTGAACGCGCAAGTCATCAATGTTTAATGCTTGCTGCGCCCCCGAGCACCATGTTTCAGATGCATGTCGTCCGGTTTGTTACCGTCGACTGGTTGTTCCCTGAACGCGCAAGACATAATGTTTAATGCTTGCTGCGCCCCCGAGCACCATGTTTCAGATGCATGCCGTCCGGTTTGTTACCGTCGACTGGTTGTTCCCTGAACGCGCAAGTCATCAATGTTTAATGCTTGCTGCCCCCCCGAGCACCATGTTTCAGATGCATGCCGTCCGGTTTGTTACCGTCGACTGGTTGTTCCCTGAACGCGCAAGTCATCAATGTTTAATGCTTGCTGCGCCCCCCGAGCACCATGTTTCAGATGCATGCCGTCCGGTTTGTTACCGTCGACTGGTTGTTCCCTGAACGCGCAAGTCATCAATGTTTAATGCTTGCTGCGCCCCCGAGCACCATGTTTCAGATGCATGCCGTCCGGTTTGTTACCGTCGACTGGTTGTTCCCTGAACGCGCAAGACATAATGTTTAATGCTTGCTGCGCCCCCGAGCACCATGTTTCAGATGCATGCCGTCCGGTTTGTTACCGTCGACTGGTTGTTCCCTGAACGCGCAAGACATAATGTTTAATGCTTGCTGCGCCCCCGAGCACCATGTTTCAGATGCATGCCGTCCGGTTTATTACCGTCGACTGGTTGTTCTTTGTTTCCAGTCATGAACGTCTACGCGCTTCATGCCGTCCTTTTTTCTCTCTTTTTTTTTTTGTGCTGAGATGATGGCTCCCCATGGATCGAGACAAGTGGTATCTATCGATCGAGGTGAGACTTTATGGAATGTGAAGATGCCTCCCAAGCGAATAATGTCGTGCCGTGGGGCTGATCATGATATATTGATATGAAGACATGAATAAATCCAAGGGTCTTGCGAGCGTCCTCTGCTCAAGGACAGCGGCAACAACTGCGGCAGAGGTCCACAAAATGTAGCCATGCTGAAAGTCAAGCAATGGTCCTCATCCGTGCAGTGCGGGGACGAGGCCGCTTTTCAAAGATGATAAACACGTAGTGCCGACAGGCTGATCGTGATATGATGATATCGGCAATGAGAAGCCAACCTAAAAATCAAGCAACGGTCCTTATCCGCGCAGTGCGGGGACAAGGCCGGTCTTCAAATGTGATAATGGCACCGTACCAGAGGGTCGGTGGCCATGTAATGAGATCGCCACTGGAGGCCGATCGGAAAGGAACAAGCAACGGTCCTTATCTGCGCAGTGCGGGGACAAGGCCGGTCTTCAAATATGATAATGGCACCGTACCAGAGGGTCGGTGGCCATGTAATGAGGTCGCCACCGGGGGCTGATCGGAAAGGAACAAGCAACGGTCCTTATCTGCGCAGTGCGGGGACAAGGCCGGTCTTCAAATATGATAATGGCACCGTACCAGAGGGTCGGTGGCCATGTAATGAGGTCGCCACCGGGGGCTGATCGGAAAGGAACAAGCAACGGTCCTTATCTGCGCAGTGCGGGGACAAGGCCGGTCTTCAAATATGATAATGGCACCGTACCAGGGAGTCAGTGGCCATGTAATGAGGTCGCCACCGGGGGCTGATCGGAAAGGAACAAGCAACGGTCCTTATCTGCGCAGTGCGGGGACAAGGCCGGTCTTCAAATATGATAATGGCACCGTACCAGAGGGTCGGTGGCCATGTAATGATGTCGGCGCTGGGGGCCGATCAGAAACAAATAATCAACGGTCCTCATCCGTGAGGAGCGGAGATGAGGCCGGTCTTCCAAATGATCATCACGCCGAGCCAGGAAGATCGGTCGTGGTGAAAGGAAAGTCAGCGCTGGGAGGCCGATCTGTAAATCCGAGGGTCTTACAGGCGCCCTCAGCCCATAATGTTGCTCTAGGTGCCGAACGGCGGAGGCCGGATTGCCAGTCAGGTAGCGTAATCTGAAAGCTCGTGTATCGTACAGTCCATATAGGACTTCCCTTCATGTGTTGTGACATCTATACATTTGTAGTCCCTTCTTTTCTCAATCGTTCATGATTCCTTCTACACACTAGTAACCTCACTCTTTTTTTTTTTTTTTTTTTTTTTTTTTTTTTTTTTCTTTTTTACTCCTTTTTTTCTTCTTCTTTTTTTTTTCTTTTTTTTTTTGTGTGTGTGTGTGTTTGTGTGTCCAGATCTCGAATATCTCTGTGTTTCACAATCTCCCCGTTCGGGCTGACCGAACGCCTATGAATGTGATTCTTTTCTGCCGGTCATGAATGTCTCTGTGCTTCATGCCGAGCATCATAGATATCTTTGTGCTTCATGATTCCCCGTTCGAGCATATCGAACAAATTTTACTGCACAATCAGCATGGTAATACGGTCATACGGCCGTATGGCCGAACAACATATACAAGTATATATATACAAGTATGTACGTTCAAATACGTATAATATTTTCCTTTGTTTCCTTATGACTATCAGCCGAAGTGGTAATAATAACCCTTGGTCTAGAATTATTTGTCGGAGTACGTACTTCGCCCCGTACTGGGTATAGTTGCCGTTCGGGCATTTAATGCCGAACAAGATCATGACCTTGAGTGGTCTTCAAATCAAAATACGTCATCGGGCCACGCCCTTGCGAGACGCTTTAGTCAATATCATTTGGGCTGAACGGGAGTGGACCAATCAGCCACTCAACCCAAGCATTTAATTTAAAATGTTGGTGAACTCCTTACTAGAGTTTCGCCCAACTTTTATTCAACTCGGGATATTCTAATCCCTACTAACCAAATAATCGCTTAGAAATATTAATACATTATTTTATTCAATTTTTCCATGGATGTCCGGCCTCACCATGTGGGTCCATAGACGCTCCGACCGCTAATTAAGGCCGATCGGGGTAAGTTAATAGCCCCCACTACAACCAATCATTTAATTAAAACATGACGGTGAATTTTATATTTAAAGCCTCGCTCGGCATTTTTCTGCTCGGAACGTTTTCACCCCATATCCGGTCATTAATATTTTAATGTACTAGCACTTGACGTCAAATGGACGTCGATCGGGGGCACGCCGATAGGCCAACCCAAAAATGGTCATTTAATTTTTTAAATGACGACGAATATCAGATCGCCACAACTTCTCTTGGCTTTATTTAACTCAGGATATTTTAATCCCTACTAAATACTATTGTATTGATTTCACAATTGATAGTAGTAATATTATTTAAGCAATTAATCGTAAGCAAGAGCAGGGGGTTTGAAGTACTTAGCTCTTAAATTGGCTGAGACTTGTTGCCTTTCTGACAATGGCCCAAAGTCGTTCCCTTGGTGCAAGGATACCCGGCCCAATGTATTCTTTCTAATTCCACCTCAGGGAGAAGGAATGAAAATCCCTCGTCTTTAATTTTTCTAAGCCGTATCAAAAACCCCACCCACCGCATTTCCTTTAGTGCCGAACGAGAAGGGCAGCACCCAGAACTGATGGCAGGAGCGGCTAGAAGAAAGCAGGAAGGTGACTCCTCGGCGGGATTCCGATCGTCAGTGTTTCAAAGCACCGAACGGCAGGTGTTGTATGGTATGGAGAAGCAGCGTAGCCGGGCACCGGAGGGCGGTAGGCCGGAGACTCGGTGTCGTGTCTAGCGGTTCCTTACTGGCCCGAACGGGATCTGCTATCCCCGCTTGAACGAAGACTGGCCGGCCGCCGGCCGGTTGTTGCTCGAACGGAATCTGCCGCGGAGAGATGTGATCGGCAGATGAACCGGTCCTGTTGGTGCCTTGGTCATTCGGGCGTGCCGCTCGGGGTGTAGCACTTTTCTCGTTCGGCAGGGGATGTCGGATGAGCTTCCAGTTTTGGAAAATTCTGTTCGGTCGAGTTTCGAAGCTCCCCTACCTAGATTCGTTGTGGCTTGGATCGAGACCCTCCGGTGAGTAGGAACGTCCAGGGGATTCCCGTTCGGACTCCTCTCCAGATGATAAAGGTGTGGGGCCCTTCCATCACATCATTATTCTGCCATTTGCCCTTTCTCACATGTGAACACCTGTGAACCTGTGGACCCCAAGCCTTATCTCCAGTTTTCCCATGACAGTGATCGGCACTCAACCCGGTCCTCCTCCGGATGTTGGTTTGCTAGCTTTGGCGTTCGGTAGTTCCCGTTCGGGATTCGGCGTGAATCTGTCAAATCATCAAAAAGTGTTGTCAGGATAAGGAAAGTGACGGCCATGCGGGCCCCACTCATCATTTTTCTCAATTCTCCTTGGATGTAGAGATTTGAGCCACGACAGGGTTGCTGAAGTTTTTTCACTGGGTCTAGAGGTCTTCCTTTGCTGTTGTGCTTTCCGCCGTTGTTGACCAGTGAATTAGCTGGCCTGGAGCAGATCTTAAACTCCCATTCCACAGCTATATATCAGTTCATCTTTGATGTAAAATTTTTGTAGAACACGAACAAAATCTTTTAATTCGTTTCCCACAGACGGCGCCAATGTTGAGGTTTTGTCCCGTAGATCCGGAAGCCCAACATAAACTTCGGATATTAAGGACGATGGATTCGGTATAAAAGTGAATAAATATATAAAAGTGTATGAACTAGCTATTTTTACGTGGAAACCCGGAAAGGGAGAAAACCACGGGACTTTTTAGGCTAACGTCCAAGCCCGCTCTTTCTCATTAATATCCTCCCATCACTCATTTACATAGTATAAAGGTAGAGCTCCATTAATGGAGGTATGAACTAATCTATCAAGAAGGAAAAATAAGCAGGGAGGGAGGAGAGAGCTCCAAAAAGAGAGATCCCTTAATCAGGAGGCTTGGCCTCCTATTTATAGAAGGGGGAGGGGAAACCCTCTAGTCTAACGGGCCGAAAAGGCCCTAATGGGCCGAAACGGGCCTAAATGGGCCGGCGAACCCAAATGGGCCTCGCCAATTGGGTTCCGTATCGGGGTGAGGCTTTGGGCCTCTGAACAGTAGTGGGCCGGGGTAATATACCCAACACTTGCCAAATTTAATATTGGCTAGATGTACAAATACGTTAATTAACCACTCACACATATGTATGTGTGTTACTCCAGGAAGTCATTGTTTTACACACCATATAGCTACATACACATAATATACTACCAGTGATTATTGTACATTTGTACGCATCTTCTTGCTAAACTGCCAATCATTATTTCGGTCCGAACACAGACCATACTTGACCTAACTCTATCACACAAAATCAAACTTTTGCGGTTGTAAAAAACATAAAGACCAAAAATCTATCAGACCAATTAGGATTAGTACTCTTAAATAAAATTGATGAACGGCAAAAGTATAGGTAAGAATATTAGTCTGTATTATTGTATATGCCTCTTCCACAATACGTACAAGACCTTTATATAAAAAGGCTGACTAGTCAAAGATGGAAAGACAATCATTGTACATCTAAAAATATTAAATAACATAAATAGACTAACTAAATAAAGTAATTTAATATATGATCCGTAATATCCCCCCTCAAGTTGGAGCATGGGGATTCAAAATGCCCAACTTGCGTAGAAGAAAATGAAACTGAGTCTTCCCGAGAGCTTTAGTAAAAATATCGGCAAGCTGGACAGTCGTAGGAACATAACTAGGAGCAATGAGGTCATTCTTTATAGCATCACGAATAAAATGGCAATCCACCTCGATGTGTTTAGTACGTTCGTGAAAAACAGGATTTCGAGCAATATGCAATGCAGACTGACTATCACAAAACAACTGAATAGCTTTCTCGTGATTGATTCCAAGGCTAAGAAGCAAGGCTTTGAGCCACTTAAGCTCACAAGTGGCAGCAGCCATAGCCCGGTATTCAGCCTTGGCGGAAGAGCGAGACACAGTAGACTGCTTTTTGGTTTTCCAGGAGATAGGAGAATGCCCAAGAAAAACCAGCCATCCAGACAATGATCGTCGAGTAAGCGGGCAAGCAGCCCAATCAGAGTCACACCAACCAGTCAGAGAAAGAGAGCTATCTGCACTAAGAAGAATGCCTTGACCTGGAGACCCTTTCAGATAGCGAACCACACGCAATGCAGCATCCCAGTGAGCTTGACAAGGAGCCTGCATAAACTGAGACAAAATATGAACAGAATATGTCAAATCAGGCCGGGTTACAGCTAGATAAATGAGGCGTCCAAGGAGACGCCTATAAGGCTCTGGATCACTCAAAAGTGGCCCTTGAATTTTAGCCAGAGAATGATTTTGTTCAATAGGAGAATCCGCAGGTTTAGCACCAAGAAGCCCTGTTTCAGAGAGAATATCCATAGTATATTTACGTTGGGAGAGAAAGAGACCCGAGGGACTACGGGCCACTTCTATCCCAAGGAAATATCGGAGCGAGCCCAAATCTTTCATGTGAAAGCAATCACTGAGATAAGCTTTAAAGTGGACTATGGCATCGTGATCATTGCCAGAGATAACCAAATCATCCACATAAACCAGAACGTTAAGCTGAGTATTCCCCCTAGTGCGTGTAAAGAGGGAATAATCAGCATATGACTGAAGAAAGCCATATCCTTTAAGAGCACCAACCAACTTAGCAAACCAACATCGAGGAGCTTGCTTCAAACCATAAAGGGATTTATGTAACCGACACACAAGAGAAGGATCAGAAACAGCATATCCTGGTGGAACCTGCATGTAAACTTCCTCAGCCAAATCACCATGCAAAAACGCATTATGAACATCCATTTGATGGAGTTCCCAATTTTTGGATGCCGCAACAGCCAAGAAGGCACGGACCGTGACCATCTTGGCTACTGGGGCAAATGTTTCATTGTAGTCAAGTCCCTCAACTTGACGATTGCCAAAAATAACCAAACGGGCTTTGAGTCGTTCAATACTACCGTCAGAGTGGTATTTTATTTTATATACCCAACGGCAACCTAATGCTCGTTTGCCGGGGGGTAGAGGCTGCATAGTCCAAGTGCGGTTGTCTTCAAGGGCTCGAATTTCAGCGCGCATTGCATCACGCCAACCAGCATCACGAACAGCCTCTTTAAAAGAGGTTGGTTCTTTACTAACTGAGAGTGCCGTCAAGAACACACGATAGCGGTCAGAAAATTTGTCACAATTAATATAATGAGCTATAGGAAACGGTGTACCTGAGTTAGCCGATGGAGAGGAGGGAGCGGGGAATGGACTATCATGCATGACGGTATGTGTCTCAAAGTCGCGCAATCGGATAGATGGGAGTTTAACTCTTTTCCCTCGACCCAAATCTGGCGATGAAGGCGCAGAGGTAGAGGGCACTTCAGATTCAGATGCAATAGGAACAAGAGAATCAGGGACACGCGGAGGAGGAGAATCCTGTGAAGCTGGGGTAGCCAAAGGATATTCCCAGGTATCCAAAGGCGGTAATGGTGGAGGGTCCTCTTGGATATGTTCTGGAGTAGTGAGAAAAGGAAAGACATCCTCAATGAATTTTACATCCCGCGAGACAAAGTACTCCTCGGTCTCAAGATCATAAACCCGCCATCCTTTTTTACCAAAAGAATACCCAACAAAGATACATTTGCGGGTCCTGCTCAGAAATTTGTCCCTAGTAGAACGAAGGTTATGGGCAAAACAAAGACACCCAAATACACGAAGAGCATCATAATCAGGAGATTTTCCAAACAGTATTTCAAAGGGTGTTTTATGGTCCAACACTGTAGAAGGGGTCCGATTAATCAGATGAGCAGCAGTTAGAACACACTCCCCCCAAAATTGAATGGGAAGATTAGCCTGAAATCTGAGAGCACGAGCGACATTAAGAATGTGTCGGTGCTTACGTTCAACCCGTCCATTCTGTTGCGGCGTGGCAACACAAGAAGTATGAAAAATAATGCCAGATGTCCGAAAAAAATCTTTCAGGCAGTTAAATTCCGTCCCATTGTCACTACGAACAATTTTAATATTTTGAGAAAACTGACGCTCTACCATAGCGCAAAAATTCATGAACATGGGAAAAACTTCTGTTTTATCAACCAAAAGATATACCCAAACAGCACGCGAAAAATCATCAACAATAGTCAGAAAACTCTTAGCACCACAAGAAGAAGGCGTATGATATGGCCCCCATAAATCACAATGTATAAGCTCAAAAATACGTGTACTTTTGCTTATACTAAGAGGAAAAGTGTCTCTAGTATGTTTAGCCCTAAAACAGATTTCACAGGGCGAAGAATTAGTAGGGGTATACCCACTCACAGGTCGAAGCCATTTCATAACAGTGTCTGACGGGTGTCCCAAACGTTGATGCCAAGTAAAAGCAGAATTAGATCCTTTCTGAACACCAAAAATATAAGTTCCAGCAATATCCTTGAAGTAATAAAGTCCATTCCTCCGCTCACCCGCTCCAATCAACTTCCTCGAGTGCCGGTCCTGTATAGCACAAATATTAGAGGTAAATTGAATGAAACATTCGAGATCTTGTGCAAGTTGTGATACAGAGATAAAACTACAATTTAATTTGGGAACAAATAACACATGTGACAAATGTATTGTGTCAGATAAATAAACAGATCCCGCTTTGGTAGCCTGCACTTTCTGGCCGTCCGGCAATCCAACTGTACAACCATTAATGTCAATGATGTCTCTTAGACAAGAGAGATTCCCGGTGACGTGATTTGAAGCTCCAGTATCAATAATCCAAGAAAAAGGACTAAATTTATCGGATTCTCTTTTATTATCCGAACTTGGTTTACCAAATGATGTCACAAATCCCTTCCACTCATCAAAAGTAAAGCCTGGCAGCCCACTCCCTTCTCCCATGCCATCAAGCACATTTATTTGTTCCGTACGTGAGTTGGGGGCATCCACCAGCAACGCATGAGCAAAAATGTTCACTCTGCCACGCCCTGCAATTTCATCTTTGTGTCCAGCTCCTTCGCCGTCCCGGCAATTTGTTTTGCCCGTCCCTTGTGATGTCCGGCCATTGTTACTCACAACAAGTCCCAAAATTTCAGATCGGTCTTCCCGATTTTGCCCCAAAATTTGAGCAGAATCTTCGCCGTCCCCTACTGCCATTGCAGAAGACCTCGGTGTAGTTGTCCGTCACGCCGGAGTCTTGGGTTGCTCTGATACCATGGTAAGACCCGGGGTTCCATCCTAAAAGGTCAACCTGATAGGAGGAGTAGCCCGTGTGTTAATATAGCACTTTGTTCATCCAAACGTTTCCGGTGTGGGACATTTAACACCCCTCCTCACGACCAGACACTTCGTCTGGATCGTGCAATCATTCATTTTTTTTCATCGGTCCGTTTTTTTTTTTCATCCGGCCATTTTTATAATCGTGTCATCACGATTCATAAGGGGCCCCACACCATGGATCGATTTGGCTCTGATACCATGATGAACGGCAAAAGTATAGGTAAGAATATTAGTCTGTATTATTGTATATGCCTCTTCCACAATACGTACAAGACCTTTATATAAAAAGGCTGACTAGTCAAAGATGGAAAGACAATCATTTTACATCTAAAAATATTAAATAACATAAATAGACTAACTAAATAAAGTAATTTAATATATGATCCGTAATAAAAATAGACCAGATCAGATTAGTATTAAAAATATGGAAAACAACTTCCTGACAATTCAAAATATTACATATCGAATCTTAAAACCTAAGAATAGACAAATATTTGACTCGATAGACACGAAACGAGCAGTTTTAAGATTAAAATGACCAGAATCGAAGCTCTCCTACAAAAAGTACTTCAAATATTCAAATGTCCAAATCAAACCTACTCCAATTAAAATAAAAACAATTAAATGTGTAACCTTGAAAAATTTTCTTACTTTGATACTAGTTTTTTAATTATTTCTCGATAATAAGTGCTGATCCACATATATGCATCACCTCTATCTAGAATTTTAAGACTATTTTTTCGATAGGAGTTCATGTAATTAGCTAATACTTATCGAGTATTATATTGAATAATGGTTCAATATAACACTATTAAAATGAAAACTATAGAGGGGAGGCGTGCTTACCAGTAAAAGGGCCACAAAGTGTAGTCGAGATCTATCACAACTAATCGCGGCAAGCTCGGGAATGATTTCATGACGCGTAATGCATCTCTCATTTTTACTTGATCGAACCCTGAAATTAGAAACTAAATTTGAGTTATGATAACTCATACTCCGTACGTTTAAGGTATATATTGGCAAGAAAGAAACTTATATACGTATAATTAGAAACTTAATGCATTAATTCGCCATAGCACTCCTTATATACGTACAATTAACAAATAAGTGCAAAAATAATGAATATCTATCAATAATTATTTATGATGATTGTATCATACCAAAAATAAAATCATCATTTTTATAAGGTAGATGCATTACCCACTAATTACTGCTATTATTCACACGTCACGTGTCCACTTAATTGTATCAATTTCCTGAAGCCATGGTTGGGCGGATTATATTGGAATTGGTATATATATGTGTATATATGAAAGATGGCCTAAAGCTATATATATTTGCCTAACTATTTCAGTTCAAAAAGAGATTAAATCTATTAAATCCGATAAATAGTTCATATTTAACCTTCCTTAGATGAGAAGATTAATAATTGAGTTGAATCTAATAGCTATGTACCAAATATAGAATTCGAAGGATCTTTAAGATTGATCTATCGAAATCAATTCATGATTCTAACATATTCTAATACGAAGAAATAAATTCAATTGAAGTGACTGGATGGTATAATGTAAGGGTATAAAATGGCTCGGAGATCGGATATATCTTCTAGTCACGTAAAATTGGCGCTTTCCTACACGTTTATTATTTACCCTTAATTAGTAATCAGGTTACAAGATAAAACTTGTGGGATAAAAAGAAAGTGCATAGTGTGTTTTGCTTATTCACAAAAGAACACTTAACAAGTGATTTGTAGATAAAATAGTCTAAAACTCTAATACTAATCCAAATAATGGTTCATTCACAAGAATCATTATCATTAACAAGATACATGAATCAATCCATTAACAAATACATAGTACGGAGTAACTTAAAAATGTTTTGACCGAACCGAATCGGATCATATTGGCTCGGTCCGGTTCGATTTTCCGATTCTTGATTCCAAACTCCCGCCCTTACTTCTTTCTGCCAATTGTGTTCTGGTACAAATTAAAGAATAATATAAATAAACAGAGCAAAATAAATATCCGTTTATTTTATAACTAGTCTACATAAAACAAAATCAGATCAAAAAATCCTGATCCAAGATCCGGTATGTGGTGTTGACGTGGGATCCGTATATCTTACAACCGGTTGTACGGTGTGCACCGTACAGCCAGGTAAACTTGTAATTCCCATGAACTTCATCCCCTTTAATACTTTGCTCTTTGATGCAGTAGAATGAAATGGGGCCAACTCAGCTGGATTAAAAGGAATGTTGTTGTTTGAATAATTGTACAGATGTCAAAGTTAGTTAGGAGTTAGTTGTGTAGTTTACTAGCTTCTGAACGACTTTGGTCAGTTTATATACTCTTTGTACACATATTATATGCCGTATTTTTAAATTGTGAAACGTTTAAAACGCGTCCGTATCTTTACATATTTCACGAACGTATGAAACATATATTAAGCCGTATTTTATATAATTGTATCGTATTATACACGAACGTACGTATTATTGTATTATTCACGCACCGTATATTACTAACAAAGTTCACAACCCCTATTAATTTCTTTGCCTAATTTCGAAGCTAATTCTTTTATGTTGTACTAGTATATTGTTGTTTACACCGGTATGAACATTCTATAATAGCGGTCACTCCTCATTATGCATTTAGGCTTGGTATTTGAGACCTTTGAAATCCATCCATGTGTTTGCACTCTCATGTGGGATGAAGCTTGATTGGCTACTAGGGGTGGGCACGGTCCGGGACGGTCCGGGTTTTGGCTAATCCCGGTCCCGTCCCGTTTTATAATATCGGTTCGGTACGGTTCGGGATTAGCCTTTGTCCTAATGTGTGTCTATATATATATATATATATATATATATATATATATATATATATATATATATATATATATATATGGGTAGGTTCAAGTAAAAGTGAGAACAAATCTTGGTCTTTCATCACTTAAAAATGGATGGATTAGATGAACTTTAAACACAAGAGAATATTTCAAAAAATGTGCAAACATTTATACTATAAAGTGGATAATTAATGATTAAAAGTGCACTCATGTGTGTCTAAAAAGATTGTTAAATTTTTTCCAGCTTGTGCACTTTTTATTTTGTATCGTATTGCACTTTTGTGCTCTACATGTGCACTTTTTGAACATTCTGATGCACATTTGTAACAAAATTTTCAATAAAAGTTCTACATAATTACAAATATGCCACCGCATTTCCAACCTAAAAATTGATCTCGTCCATCTATTTTTTCACATCAATGACCAAGATTAATTCTTATTTTTCATCTAAGAAATATTTTTTATTTGAACCAAACTCGATCTATATATATGCCCATTGTTTTTTATTTTCGGATGTTCACGTGAACACCCGTGATAAGAGGAGATTTGCCACTGTTTCTCTATTCCTAAATTAACTTCTAATTGCAGTTTACAATATTTAATCAATAATAGAGTTGAGTTAATTGATCTCTGACAACATTTATATTATTTTTAGTAAACAAAATTTACATATTCGCACACCACATTAAAATTTCTAAAATTCGCAAATTAATTATTCCAGTTTGAAAAATAAAATAAAATTAAAGTAAAAGATTAAGAGTAATTATAGTTAAGTTGACCAAGTAAATTGTGGAATGAAAATTATTTTAGACATGGAAGTAGGTATTAATTAATAGGACAAATTAAATATCATACAATGATTATTCAATCAAAATTGAAGTTGTCATACGTTTAAACAACACATGAAATTTTAGGCGAGGTACTTATAAGGTTATAAATATTCTACGTAGTATATAATTTAATTCAAGAAATCACGTGAAGCATTATATTGTCAAACTAAGTTTTTAACTAGCCTAACTCTATATTTACTTTTCTTTATATAATTAAACTGACATGCTGCGACCTACCATGTAAGTTATAATTAACTAATTATATATACACCTTATAAATAACATATAAACTATTAATATTCATGAAATTTATATTAATTACATGCTCAGAGCATTTCCGATGCTCATCTCAAATGCTCTAATCGATCCGTTAGAATTGAAGTAGAGTCACAAATGTTTGGACAATGTCTATTTAGAAATTGGGTTCAATATTATATAAAAAGAGTCAACTAAACACCCCTCTAGTGCCGAACACATGTCCAAGAAGATTAAATTCCCAACCTCAGGAGTCCCTCAAGCCCTTACTCGATCGAGAGAGCATATATGGAAGGTTATAAATTACGTGACTTAATCCATCATAACAATGGTAGATCTTATAGTCCTATATAATAGAAACTCAACCTCATATACTGTTTCAATTAGGTGACTTAATCTTTGATCACTGTCCAACTTTCTCACAGCTTTATAAGTTGAGCAAAGTAAATGACTGACTGTTCATGATCGATTAAAGGCCCACCACTTCTTTACAAGGCCCACAATGCCACGCATGGAAGTTGTGCTTGTCCGTATGCCGTTTTATTTAACTCCACAATATCTATTTTTGACATTGGAGTAGACAATTCCATTCAAAGATTGCATTTGTTCACGTGGTTCCAAAATTCACATTAGCATTGAAGATGCACTCAGGGCCGGCCCGGAGCATGTGCTGGCAGTCCAACCGCACAGGGCCGAAAAAAAATTAAGGCCCAAAATTAGGGCCGGCCCAGGCTTACAATTCAGAACGGCCTTTCACCTCTTTGGAAGCCACTAAGGGTACAAGTAACCAATGTGGATGACCCAATGAGAGAAGTCATTTTTATAAAACAATAGGCTTCAGGATTCTTTTTCATGATCGGTGTGGGAAACCAATTAGTAGATGAAGACACAAAAACAACCTTATAAGCAAGGCTACGGAGAAGTCTATGGAGTGTATTTCTTGGGATTTGCACGCCAGGCTTCCAATCATGAGCAAAGCCAAGGATGTTTGCTTCAAATAAAATTATTCTAAAAATGACAAATACGTAAGTATTATTATTTTTATGAGAAATAATTACAAAATTATGATTAAACTAAACAATATTTATAAAAAGTGTGAGTTTTTAAACGTGGTGATTTATAATAGTAAATTTAATCACATTAACTAATATTCATCTTTTAAAATTAAGTGATAGTGACATAATAATAACGTTTTTTTAAAAATGTCTGTATAAAAATTGAAATAAAATATAGAAATTTAAACATCTTTTCAGTCTGACCATAACTGACTAAACTTGCGCAGTTGCGCCCTTTTAAAAGTTTGTACTTATAATTCACATTGAAAATATGTTCAAACACCTCTTTTAAAATGAAGGGTACTTTGTGAATGGATATTTTATTTTGTCTGTATTGTTAATTAAAAATAACTTGAAATTTGATATAAAGTATTAAGAATTTATTACTAACATAGTGTACAATAAATTACGATTTACTTTGTAAATTTTTTACGTTTAAATAAAAGGCCTAATTTTCATTGTTGCACAGGGCCCCTATTTTACCAGGACTGGCCCTGGATGCACTCAGGACACATGGTCTAAAAAACTTTCACACTGACCTAATCCTATATTTGGAATTAATTGACCTACAATGAAGCCCACTCATACAAAACTTTTTTATGTGACTCGTTGGCTCATTTTTGGTAAGTCTTTAGTTTTTATTTTTCAAGCAGATTACATAAATAAATCATATTTGAGGGACATAATAAAACATACCTAGTCCCGTTTTTTTTTAATTTAATCCACGTTTTAATTATATTTGAGGGGCTAATATACTCGTACTAGGGCTGCACAAGAATAACCCGAACCCGCATAACCCACCCAACCCAACTCTACCCGATCACTTTTAATTGAGTATTTGATTTTTAAAAATATTCACGGGTTAAATATGTACAAACCTGCACCTAATGGGTAGAGTTGTGAAACTAAAATCTCAAACCCGATAGTACCCGACCAAACCGAAGTATATTTATGCTACAAAGTTTTGTTGGATAATTTTTGTTTAAGATCGATGTATGTGCTCTATCTAAGAGTGTGACTTTAGCATTATAAATATTTAACATTTTGACTAAGTGATTAGTATATATATATACACATTTGCTTCTAAATTAATTGCCTTTACGCAAGAATGTTTTGATAATATTGCCTAAGTTTACTCTTATAAAAAGTACTTGCATTTGTTTGTGTATTTTGGAAACAAGTTAACCGAGATTCATATTGCATGTGTTAGTTGCACATATTAAAGATTCAACCCGAAATAAAATCCTATCAATATCCGACCCTACCCGACCCGTTCATGCATGGTTTACCAACTTATATTTCATACCGCGGGTTGGTAAATAGCCAACCCGAATAAATTGGGTAGGCCCAAAAAATATAGCAAACCCGACCCAACCCGCTCGATGTGCACCCTAATTCGTACTACGTAAGATCTACTTACTAAAGTTTTTTCTAATGGACCAAGTAAGACTATCCTAGCTAGATATAAAAATCAGATCAAAATATCCTGATCCAAAATTCAGTAGGTACCCCGCGCTCATGAGTCATGACGCCCCCAAGATCCCCCCCAGCTCTACATATGACGAAATTACTTGGACTGATTTTAGTCTCAGACCAGATCAGACTAGACTAGAGCAGATTAGATTAGACTTGGACAATTATAAAATACACAGAGCCCTGATCAGATCAGACCAGACAAGATTAGATCATATTAGACCAAAATTAGATCAGACCAAAAAATTTCAGTCCAACTAAAAACATCTTGAAAAGAACTAACATACGTAGTAACATACAAAACCTAAAGTTAATTAGTTTGATGATCATAAGCAAACCCCACTCTACGTCGTCTCTACGTGTCATGTATGAGTGAATTAGAACAAAACATAAATACAAGATCTTTGTTTATAACATAATCTTGATCACTTGTATGAAAAAATTAGAAAGAACCATGATAATATGGTTAATATTATGTAATTAAATAAAGTATTACCAGAACAAGTCAACTTGAAACATGGCTAAATGTGCCTATGGCGATTGTTATGGTGACGGTGATGGTGACGATAGCGACATAATGACATCATTTTGAAATGCATGCATGGAATGTTGCAACATCCTTCTGGGCGAGGTTGCACAATATGTGGCATGTTGCAATACCCATGAAGTTGAGGTTGGGCGGGAGGCGCGATTCGGCTAGGATGGTGATGGGGTATCATAAATGCATGTTGTGGAGGTAGAATATGGCGTTGATGGAATGCTGAGACTCCTTCATATAGAGCTTTAAGATTTATGCCATCGGTTACCAACACGCTTGTCACTCCCATTTGAGATGCCTAAATTAAAATAATGATTACATTTTAGATTATTAGCTAAATAAATCAACTATACATTCAATTGTGTGCATTTGCAGGTTACTTGTCATGTCAGTACTTCATCCACTGACTGGCACACACGTGACAGTCCAATCAGCAGTGACTTTGATGACGTGACACACATGTGGAAGTCCAATCACCCATTTGATGATGGCACGGTGCACACGTGGCGGTCCACGTGTGCGTCACGTCATCAAATGATCTGCTGACACGGTAAGTAACCTGCAAATGGACACAATTGAACGTTTTTACAAAGTTCGGGATTTGATTGATTTTTTTTAAAGTAGACCTAATTGACTTTTTCGTTTTATTTTAGTTATCGCTAAAATTATACAAAAGGTAAATGACTGGTTACTACGGAATAGGTATTATTTAATTAGATACAAATATTGAAATATATAAACATTATTGATACCGATAAGTGATAATTTGACACAACTTTTCTAACGTAAAAAGATGAAATTTGAGTCTGTTTAATACTCCCTCCGGTTTTATTTAATCTTCACACTTTGACTTCACTCAAAATAAGGAAAGAAATTTGACTTTACTGTAGAGTACACTGTTGAGGCACTGTTTGGCACTGTTGAGACACTGTTTGGCACTATTGAGACGCTGTTTGGCACTGTTTGACACTATTTTGATATAGATTTCTTTGCCAAAAAAGGAAACAAGGAAGTGTGAAGTTTATTTTAGACCGTCCCAAAAAGGAAAGTGTGAAGTTTATTAAAAACCGGAGTAAAAGATAAAGATTAGAATAAATTTGTGAACTTGATGAAAATTAAAAAAAAATTAAGTTAACGAGAAATATATTACACTTATAGCTAAGCAGTGGATCGGACTTACCGCATCAATGTTCCTTTTCTCATCGTCGAAAAACAACATTTGATTATAAGGCACCATTGTTCTTCTATGGATCCTTTCAAAATGTTCTGTTTTGGGTGACCTACTTGGAAACATTTCCTAATCATCATAATAAAAAATTAACAACCATATATATACACATCAAAATCATAGATATATAAATCAATTAAATATAAATAATTTAATGTGAAGGGGGTATATTAGATATATACTACCTTTGCAATAAATATTGATCCTAAACCTAGCTTAAGTAAGAAAACACGAGCTATGTTTGGAGTGGGTGTTCTTGAGGCAATAGCAACGCCAACTCCCATTTCATATAGAGCCACTAATATCTCTCTCGCTTGAGGAAACAATTCTGCGTAATCATGTTCAGATCGGCTATGACTGAAAAATGAGGATATAAATTAAATTAAAATTTCTATGTTGACTATGTTACAGTAAAATTTTGACAAAAAAATTGATAAATTAAGTTATCAAATGCAACACACCATTAAGTTGTCAGTGAACAAAAACATTTTAAGATACGAATTGAATCATTATTTGCAATGATTCTATATATATTACCAAGTTTAAAATGTTTTTTTGGGGTAGGTGAATGCATTAACCGTTAGTATAATTTCTATCGTGATTCTTGAGTAAAATTCAAACAAATTAACGATGTTTTTACTTGGACTGTAATTTGCTGGTCTGATCTGGTCTAGACTGATCTGGTCTGGTCTGGTCTGAACTGGTCTGGTCTGATAAGGTCTGGTTTCTTTGTATTTTATAACTATCCAAGTCTGGTCTGGGGAAAATTACAGTCCAAATTGTAAAGAAGTTATACGTCGTAGTACGGAGTATTTGATAAGCCTAAATATAAATGAACAACTATATATTGAGATAGCTACAAATATAAATCAATATTTTAGATGATTTTACTTGCCAAATTTAATATTGGCTAGATGTACAAATACGTTAATTAACCACTCACACATATGTATGTGTGTTACTCCAGGAAGTCATTGTTTTACACACCATATAGCTACATACACATAATATACTACCAGTGATTATTGTACATTTGTACGCATCTTCTTGCTAAACTGCCAATCATTATTTCGGTCCGAACACAGACCATACTTGACCTAACTCTATCACACAAAATCAAACTTTTGCGGTTGTAAAAAACATAAAGACCAAAAATCTATCAGACCAATTAGGATTAGTACTCTTAAATAAAATTGATGAACGGCAAAAGTATAGGTAAGAATATTAGTCTGTATTATTGTATATGCCTCTTCCACAATACGTACAAGACCTTTATATAAAAAGGCTGACTAGTCAAAGATGGAAAGACAATCATTGTACATCTAAAAATATTAAATAACATAAATAGACTAACTAAATAAAGTAATTTAATATATGATCCGTAATATCCCCCCTCAAGTTGGAGCATGGGGATTCAAAATGCCCAACTTGCGTAGAAGAAAATGAAACTGAGTCTTCCCGAGAGCTTTAGTAAAAATATCGGCAAGCTGGACAGTCGTAGGAACATAACTAGGAGCAATGAGGTCATTCTTTATAGCATCACGAATAAAATGGCAATCCACCTCGATGTGTTTAGTACGTTCGTGAAAAACAGGATTTCGAGCAATATGCAATGCAGACTGACTATCACAAAACAACTGAATAGCTTTCTCGTGATTGATTCCAAGGCTAAGAAGCAAGGCTTTGAGCCACTTAAGCTCACAAGTGGCAGCAGCCATAGCCCGGTATTCAGCCTCGGCGGAAGAGCGAGACACAGTAGACTGCTTTTTGGTTTTCCAGGAGATAGGAGAATGCCCAAGAAAAACCAGCCATCCAGACAATGATCGTCGAGTAAGCGGGCAAGCAGCCCAATCAGAGTCACACCAACCAGTCAGAGAAAGAGAGCTATCTGCACTAAGAAGAATGCCTTGACCTGGAGACCCTTTCAGATAGCGAACCACACGCAATGCAGCATCCCAGTGAGCTTGACAAGGAGCCTGCATAAACTGAGACAAAATATGAACAGAATATGTCAAATCAGGCCGGGTTACAGCTAGATAAATGAGGCGTCCAAGGAGACGCCTATAAGGCTCTGGATCACTCAAAAGTGGCCCTTGAATTTTAGCCAGAGAATGATTTTGTTCAATAGGAGAATCCGCAGGTTTAGCACCAAGAAGCCCTGTTTCAGAGAGAATATCCATAGTATATTTACGTTGGGAGAGAAAGAGACCCGAGGGACTACGGGCCACTTCTATCCCAAGGAAATATCGGAGCGAGCCCAAATCTTTCATGTGAAAGCAATCACTGAGATAAGCTTTAAAGTGGACTATGGCATCGTGATCATTGCCAGAGATAACCAAATCATCCACATAAACCAGAACGTTAAGCTGAGTATTCCCCCTAGTGCGTGTAAAGAGGGAATAATCAGCATATGACTGAAGAAAGCCATATCCTTTAAGAGCACCAACCAACTTAGCAAACCAACATCGAGGAGCTTGCTTCAAACCATAAAGGGATTTATGTAACCGACACACAAGAGAAGGATCAGAAACAGCATATCCTGGTGGAACCTGCATGTAAACTTCCTCAGCCAAATCACCATGCAAAAACGCATTATGAACATCCATTTGATGGAGTTCCCAATTTTTGGATGCCGCAACAGCCAAGAAGGCACGGACCGTGACCATCTTGGCTACTGGGGCAAATGTTTCATTGTAGTCAAGTCCCTCAACTTGACGATTGCCAAAAATAACCAAACGGGCTTTGAGTCGTTCAATACTACCGTCAGAGTGGTATTTTATTTTATATACCCAACGGCAACCTAATGCTCGTTTGCCGGGGGGTAGAGGCTGCATAGTCCAAGTGCGGTTGTCTTCAAGGGCTCGAATTTCAGCGCGCATTGCATCACGCCAACCAGCATCACGAACAGCCTCTTTAAAAGAGGTTGGTTCTTTACTAACTGAGAGTGCCGTCAAGAACACACGATAGCGGTCAGAAAATTTGTCACAATTAATATAATGAGCTATAGGAAACGGTGTACCTGAGTTAGCCGATGGAGAGGAGGGAGCGGGGAATGGACTATCATGCATGACGGTATGTGTCTCAAAGTCGCGCAATCGGATAGATGGGAGTTTAACTCTTTTCCCTCGACCCAAATCTGGCGATGAAGGCGCAGAGGTAGAGGGCACTTCAGATTCAGATGCAATAGGAACAAGAGAATCAGGGACACGCGGAGGAGGAGAATCCTGTGAAGCTGGGGTAGCCAAAGGATATTCCCAGGTATCCAAAGGCGGTAATGGTGGAGGGTCCTCTTGGATATGTTCTGGAGTAGTGAGAAAAGGAAAGACATCCTCAATGAATTTTACATCCCGCGAGACAAAGTACTCCTCGGTCTCAAGATCATAAACCCGCCATCCCTTTTTACCAAAAGAATACCCAACAAAGATACATTTGCGGGTCCTGCTCAGAAATTTGTCCCTAGTAGAACGAAGGTTATGGGCAAAACAAAGACACCCAAATACACGAAGAGCATCATAATCAGGAGATTTTCCAAACAGTATTTCAAAGGGTGTTTTATGGTCCAACACTGTAGAAGGGGTCCGATTAATCAGATGAGCAGCAGTTAGAACACACTCCCCCCAAAATTGAATGGGAAGATTAGCCTGAAATCTGAGAGCACGAGCGACATTAAGAATGTGTCGGTGCTTACGTTCAACCCGTCCATTCTGTTGCGGCGTGGCAACACAAGAAGTATGAAAAATAATGCCAGATGTCCGAAAAAAATCTTTCAGGCAGTTAAATTCCGTCCCATTGTCACTACGAACAATTTTAATATTTTGAGAAAACTGACGCTCTACCATAGCGCAAAAATTCATGAACATGGGAAAAACTTCTGTTTTATCAACCAAAAGATATACCCAAACAGCACGCGAAAAATCATCAACAATAGTCAGAAAACTCTTAGCACCACAAGAAGAAGGCGTATGATATGGCCCCCATAAATCACAATGTATAAGCTCAAAAATACGTGTACTTTTGCTTATACTAAGAGGAAAAGTGTCTCTAGTATGTTTAGCCCTAAAACAGATTTCACAGGGCGAAGAATTAGTAGGGGTATACCCACTCACAGGTCGAAGCCATTTCATAACAGTGTCTGACGGGTGTCCCAAACGTTGATGCCAAGTAAAAGCAGAATTAGATCCTTTCTGAACACCAAAAATATAAGTTCCAGCAATATCCTTGAAGTAATAAAGTCCATTCCTCCGCTCACCCGCTCCAATCAACTTCCTCGAGTGCCGGTCCTGTATAGCACAAATATTAGAGGTAAATTGAATGAAACATTCGAGATCTTGTGCAAGTTGTGATACAGAGATAAAACTACAATTTAATTTGGGAACAAATAACACATGTGACAAATGTATTGTGTCAGATAAATAAACAGATCCCGCTTTGGTAGCCTGCACTTTCTGGCCGTCCGGCAATCCAACTGTACAACCATTAATGTCAATGATGTCTCTTAGACAAGAGAGATTCCCGGTGACGTGATTTGAAGCTCCAGTATCAATAATCCAAGAAAAAGGACTAAATTTACCGGATTCTCTTTTATTATCCGAACTTGGTTTACCAAATGATGTCACAAATCCCTTCCACTCATCAAAAGTAAAGCCTGGCAGCCCACTCCCTTCTCCCATGCCATCAAGCACATTTATTTGTTCCGTACGTGAGTTGGGGGCATCCACCAGC